AAGTATATATATATATATATATTCATCTTGATAGGGTGCAGAGACAAAGTAGTTGATAAAATCCATGCTTCCATATAAACAAAGAATAGAATGTAGAATGGCAGTTGCCAGTGGTTAGAGTGAAGGGAAAAGAAAGAATATATAGGTGAAAGGATACCAATTTTCAGTTATAAGAAGAATAAATTCTGGCCCCAGCTGGTGTAGCTCAGTAGATTGAGTGCTGGCCTGTGAACCAAATGGTTGTCAGTTCGATTCCCAGTTGGGGCACATGCCTAGGTTGCAGGTCAGGTCAGGTCCCCAGTAGGGGATGCACGAGAGGCAACCACACATTGATGTTTCTTTCCCTCTCTCCCTCCCTTCCTCTCTGTCTAAAATAAATAAATAAAATCCTTAGAAAAACTTAAAAAATTAAAAAAAGAAGAAGAAGAAGTTCTGAGGATATAATGTATAACATAGTGACTAGTCTAATTACATGGCATCATATTGTAGCTGAAAGTAGATCTTAGGTGTTCTCACCACACACACACACACACACACACACACACACACACACACACACACATGAAAGAAGAGAGTTAACTATGTGAGGTGAGGGATATGTTTATTATCTTGATCTTGGTAATCAATCCAAATCATCACACTGTTCTCTTTAAATATACGCAATTGCAAAGACAACAGGTGGGGAGGATGAAATGTGGGAGGTGAGGGGTAGGGCAGGGGAGAGTAATGGGGGAAATTGGGGGCAACTGTAATTGAACAATAAAAAATAAATATATAAAATTACATTTGACAATTATTCTTCAATAATGTTGAAAAAACTACTAAGCGAATTTGTAAGATGGTAAGCACCCAGTATGGTCAAAGAAAGCACATGACCAGGGAGACTACAGCAGGCCAAGGGATGGGTGAGGGCAAGGCTTCCAGAAAATGGGGTCTGAGATCCTGGGCAGAGCTGGGGATGAGGCATGGGGCAGACAGTCCAAGGCGTTCTAGGCTAGTTGCGGCTTTTAGTCATAATTAACATTTAAAATGAAGTATCTTTATTTGGAAACGATAACAAAATTTTCTTGTGGCTTTGAAATTTTAAAAAGTCTCATTAAGTTTAAAGGAAGAAAGAGGGAGAGTGGGAGCAAGAGCGAGAGCAAAATAGAGAGAGAGAGACAGGGAGAGAGGATGGAGAGAGGAGGGGAGGGAAGGAGGAGATAGTTTGACTCACCAAAGCTTTTTCCACTATTATATGCATTTCCAGGTATTGGGGTAACTGTTTTGAAAGAGTTTTTTTCTGGGGAAAAAAGATTGATCAAATGATTACATGTATTGAATTTGTTAAACGCAAAGAGTAACATGTGACGAAGGCAAAAAGAATCCTAGACAGCCTTCATAAGGACTTAAATATAAAATTAATTGCAAATAAAAATTTCACTTAAAAACACATTCTGGGTTTGAAAGAATCTGTGAGAGGAATGTGGGAGTCTAGGTACTCTGTATTAATACTGAATGAGAAAGAGAGTGAATATAAATACACATATTCTATTGTCTTCATCTCATGAGAAACCCACATTATTCAAAAACACTTGAGAATTCTTCCTGGGCTGTCTTCCTGAAGACTACAAGTGTGCCACAATGGAAATTTTCCATTCATTCATCAGAAAAATATAGGAAAAATGTAAGAAATCACAGTCCTCACAGAAATTCATAAACAGAGTGACTGGCACTGTTAGCCATATGGGTACATGGGAAAGGACAGGATGCAAAACATCAGAAATAATTCCATAGCTCCAGGGCACAGGCTGCACATCCCTTTGGGTATGGTGTTATAATCCTTGATGGTGCTGGAAGTCAGCTATAAGTCACCAATTTATTATATCATTATTTGGCACTTTAATGGTCATTTTTATATGAGCTATATCTTAAACATATTAAAATGCTGTTCACATATTTCAAAGTAACCAAAAGTTCATAATTATCCAAGTATGCTGATCACTTAGTATGAGTAAGGAGGGTACAAAGATTGGGTCAATCATAAAATAGCTTAGGTTAAAACAAACAAGCAAATAGACTCAGTGGGTAGAGCCTAGGTTTAAATAGGCTTGCTTATGCTTCCATAGGAAATTGAAGTGTGTTTGTGTTCTACATACAGGGTGGGGAAAAGTTCATTTGGAAAATGATATAGTAAGTAATAAATAATAACACAAGAATAAAGTCTGTGTCTTGCATACTCACAATTGTGAACTTACTCTTGATTAACCCTGTTGTCATTCTCTCTCTGTCTGTCTGACCAAATCCAAATATGCAGTTTGTAGGAAAGGATGTGCTCTTCACTCTTACTCAACACTTACTACTCTTATAACAATGGTGATCATAGGGTTTATTTTTTTAAAACAAAATAATGTGCAGTGGGAACAGGGGCACTAAAATACTTTAAATTATGTAATCGTTAAGTGGTATGTTTAGTTCAATTTTATTAGGTAGACCAAAAAATACTTCTACTTGAAAGTTACTTCCAAAACTAGATGTTAGTTTTAATCAATGATATATATCAATTGGCATATAATCAATATATATATTCTGACAAATGACATATATATCTGATTAAACAAAGTCAAAAGTTTTTCAATGTGCTCTTTGATTAAAAATAACATAACTACCTGGGCATCAATATCATGGTGGAGTGAGAGGACCCCTCTTAATAACCCCTTAAATTTACAACAAGTTGAACAACTGTAATTCAACAAAGGATCCTCTGTTCAATGCATGGAGATATTTGAGAGATCCACACATCAATCCATTTGGAGGTGGACCCACTAGAATAAGGGAGGTAAATTGGGGGAAGCAACACCCCTGCCTGAAAAAGCATGGAGGTGAACCTGGTGGCAGTAGTGGAGATGTGGAGAACCTGTGGTGGTCATTGCTGACAAAGAGGCAAAGCTGTGGTCTTGTCATAGCCATTACTAACTTAGAGGCAAAACCTCAAACCCACATATCTGCCTCTCTTTGCCCACCCATTGCAGCAGAACCCAGTAGAGGGGGAGTCTAGCTGAAGAATCAGGGATGCACATTGGTAACAAGGAGGCAGTGCCAGAAGCTCCCAGGCCTACAGCCCCACCACCCCTCACATCCCACCATGAGGATGGTGACCCAAGATGACAGCAACCCAGAAACAGAGGGGACACCCAATACCCTGGGAAATACAGGGCATTTTCCATGACTGAGGCCACATGACCCCACTGATTCTACAGGTGCCAGCCTTGCGGGAAAGATGAAACAAAAACTTGTACTATATCTACTGAAAAAACAAAACAAAACAACTACTTCTGTCCAGAAACCTGCTGAATTGTTAAAAGCAAAGAGTAACTACAGAAGAAAAAGAGTTCACTATGTCAAATGTACAGGCATAGAAACAATCCATCATATAGCATGAATAACCAAGGTAACAAGTTAGCAAAGAATGAAAATAAAATATCCAGAAACCAAACTCAAAGACACGGAACACTGAATTCAAATGACAGAAGTCAAGATAGCAGTTATGAAAAACTCAGTGAGATACAGGAAAACTCAGAAAGGCAGTTCAATGGTCTCTGAACAAAATTAATGAACAAAAGAAACACTTTACCAAAGAAATTGAAACTATGAAAAACACAAATGAATTCTGGGGCTAAGGAACTCAATAAATGAGATGAATAATGCATGAGAGCATCGGAAAGGAGCAGACCACAAGAAAGAGAAAATTATTGACCTTGATCATAGAAACTTATAAATGTTTCAGGAGAAAAAAGAGAGAGAACAAGAAAAAATAAGAAAGCTCTACACAAACTACCTGCCATAGAAAGAACAGCATACGGATAATGAGTATAGCAGAAAGAAAAGAGAGGGAGAAGGGAACAGAGAACATGTTCAAGGAAATAATTGATAAGCACTTCCCAAACCCATAGAATGTGCTGGAGATTCGAATACAGAAGCTAACAGGATACCTAATTACCTCAAGGCAAAAAGACCTTCTCCAAGACACATTACATTAAAGCTGTCAAAAGTTAATGACAAACAAAGAATTCTTAAGGCATCCAGGGGTTAAAAGATTGTAATCTACAGATAAAATCCCATTAGATTATCATCTGATTTTTTTTTCAGTAGAAACCTCGCAAGGTAGGAGAGAGTGGATAAAAATATTTCCAAGTTTGAAAGAAAGAACCAACCAACCAAAAATAATATATCTAGCAAAATCATCCTTTAGATATAAAAGAGAAATAAATGCTTCCCCAGACCCCCTCCCCAAAAAGAAGTTGAGAGAATTCACCCCTAGAAGACCTGCATTGTAAGAAATGTTGAAGGAAGCTCTTCTACCAGAATCATAAAATTTGAGCAGAGAGAAGCTAGATCAATTGAGATTAATATCCTGAGAAAGCAAAAGAAAAAGAATGAAGAAAAATGATCAGAAAGTAATAGAACTGTGGGCATTGTCAAACACACCAACAGATTCATAATGGGAGTATCAGAAAGTAAGAAGATAGATAAAAGGCAGAAAGTACATGGGCAAAATTTCCCAAATTTGGTGAAAAACATTAATTAAAACATCCAGGAAACTCTATGAATTCTAAGTAGGATCAACTCAAATAGATCCACTCAAAGTCACATCATAAGAAAACTGTTACAAGGCAAAGACAAAGAGAAATCTTGAAAGAAGCAACAGAGAAGGGACTCATTATATACAAGGAACCTTAGTAAGTTTAATAATATCTGATTTCCATCAGAGACTGTGGAGGCCACAGAGAGTGAGTTGAAATAGTCAAAGCAATGAAAGAAAAACACCTGTCAACAAAATCTGCCTCCAGCCAACAAAAATTATGTGTAGCCTATAGGCAAATTAAGAGATTTTAATATAGACAAATGATTATCTATAGATGTATAGAAAAAAAAGATACCAAGTGTATTTTTCCTACTCAACTGTTAAGCAGTTCCCTTTCGCAATTAAAAGAATTCTACAGAAGTAATTTCATGGTATGTCATAAGATCAGAATTACTGCAGTTACCTGTGAGCTTAAATAAAGTTTATAGGTCTGGTCTTTCTGCCAAATATTGCTGTAATTTTCTGCTAACATTGGTATATCTGGATTGCCATTTTTCACTTGATAAATTATGTGCTCATATCTTGCTGAAGATTCCAATGGTTCAATTCCATAGCTGATATTTTCAAACTGAAGGAATCCCCTGAATATTTAGAAAGTAATGATATCAAAATACTATTAATGATCCCATTAAAGCTATAATCTAACATGTTGTATGAAATGATGAAGTATAGTAAGGAACATGTTTTAAACCTACCTTTCCCCATTTCCTGGGTCTACAATGAATTGTTACCACATGTGCCATAGTTTTTCTCACTAAGGAACTACATATATCAAAAAGTATTTTGTATTTCCTGTATAGTAATAGCATTCATTCAAAATATATTATGTAAGGCCAAGTATTTGCTGGGAAACAAGATATTTACTGAAAATTTCAAGAATAAAGTTTCTGTTTTCACAGAGTTAAGAAAAGGAAAAGCAGAAATACAGAGGACATATCTAAAGAGGTTGATATAAATAAAAACCATATTCAAAGAATTCCAATTTTCTGAGTTGACATGAGTAAATTTTGGAAATCAGGCAAACAAGAACCAAAAGTAAGTTAGAGAGTGTCTTATTTGTTCTGGACTCATCTTCCTCTGATAAACTTACCACCTTCCTCTTGACATCTTTAATGATGAAAATCACTTTTCTCTGCCCTTTACCTCTGAGGAAAATTTGTTTCATTCTTCCCCCCACCTCCTTCTTTTTTGGCAACCATCAGCTTGTTCTCTATATCGATGGGTTTGTTTGTTTTGCTTTGTTTATTCATTTGTTTTGTTTTTTTTTTTGATTCCACATATAAGTGAAATCACAAGGTACTTGTCTTTCCCTTTCTGCCTTATTTCACTTAGCATAATGCCCTCTAGATCCATCCATATTGTCACAGATACCAAGATTTCATTTTTTTTATTGCTGAGCAATGTTCCGTTGTACATGTAGCACATCTTCTTTATCCATTTATTGATGGGCACTTAGGTTGCTTCCATAATTTGGCTATTAAAAGTAATGCTGAAATAAACATGGAGACAGGTATCTTTTCAAATTGGTGCCTTTTGTTTCCTTTGGATAAATACTCATAAGTGAAATTTCTGGGTCATATGGCAGCTCTATGTTTATTATTTAAATTGAATTTATTGGGGTGACATTAGTTAATAAGATTATATAGGTCTCAAGTGTACATTTCTATGATACATCATCTGCATATTGCATTGTGAGCCTGTCTCCCAAAGCCAAATCTTTTCCATCACCACATATTTGATCCTCTTTACTGTGTCCCCCACAACCTTCCTTCTGATAACTGTACTGTTGTCCATGTCTATGAATTTTTTGCTTTTCTTGTTTGTTCATTTGTTGCTTTCAGTTTTATATCCCACATATGAGTGAAATGATATGGTTCTTAACTTTTTCCATGTGACTTATTTCTCTAGGCATGATATTCTCAAGATATATCTATGTTATTGCAAATGGCCATATTTTACCTTTTCTGACTGAGTAATATTCTATTGCATATGTGTATCACAATTTTTTAAGTCCTTACCTGAGGACATTTTTTTATTGCTTCCAGAGATGGGGAGGGGGAGAAGGAGGGACAGAGAGAGAGAAACATAAATGTAAAGAGAAACATCTATTGGTTGCCTTCTTGCATGCTCCCCAAATGGGGATTGAACACATAACCTGGTTACTGAACTCACGACCTTTTGGTCTCCAGATGATGCTCCAACCAACAGATAGAGCCATACCAGCTAGGGCTTTACTATATCTTCTTTATCTAATCATCTATCAAAATACATTTCCATTATTTCCATGTCTTGGCCACCGTGAATAATGCTGCAGTGAACATATGGGTGCATATATCTTTGAGAATAAATGCTTAATTTTTAAGCATTTATTCTCAAAAGCATGTCCATATTGTTTCCCATAGTTGGTGCACCAGTTTATCATCCCACCAATAGTTTGTGATGGTTCCCTTCCTCCACATCCTTGCCAGTACTTGTTATTTGTTGATTTTTTTTTATGATAGCCTGTCTGACAGTTGTAAAGTGATATCTCACTGTGGTTTAGATTTGCATTCCCATGATGATTGGTAATGCTGAGCATCTTTTCATGTGCCTGTTGGCTGTGTGGAAGTCGTCTTTGGATAAATGTCTGTCAAGTCCTCTAAGGTACCTTCTTAATTAGTTTTATGTCTGATACTGAGTGCACTTTAACTGTGATCATACAATATGTGTCTGTTAAAATACTAATTAAAGCATTTTTCCATGAGTATTTAAAATAACTGGAGGTAATTCAGTTAAGAAAATGTTTTAAGCTCTCCTTTACTGAAAGTATTCTTTTCTGCACAGTAGATTGAAAATATCTCCAATCAGATGTCTCTGGAGTGATTTAATTTGACTAGGCACTTAGGTCCAGCTATAGTATTAATTTTTTAAAAATTTCAATTCTCCGTAAACCATTCTAGATTTGTGTCTGCTAGCACTAAGTTTCCTATTAAAGTATATCCTAAGTTTTTCATGTGTAAACATCCTCTAAGATGTTATTACCTGAGCCCAGAACATATGCTGAGTGTTGCAAATGAATTTGGAAAATCTGCAATATATCCTTGGTAATAGCAATGAATCTGAAAAATAATATAGAAAAGCAAACAAATAAATTCTTTATGAATAAAATATGGATGGTTAAACATTACAGATGTCTTAAAATCTTAAAAGAGTTCAAAATAAAATTGTGTATTATGCATATTTATTAATGTAGATTTTAAAAGAAAAAAGTTTTTGACAACTCTCCTTACTTTGTACAACACCACATAATACCCATGAATACTGTCTCAACATTTCATCTTATTTCTGTGTACAACAATCAACCACATGATATGCCATAAGTATATGATATAAAATCTATATATTAAATTTTAAACATAGAACATATCTCAATGGTACTGATATGTACACTTCAATAAAGACTATATGGTAATAAATGTCTCAGATATCTGAGTCTTACCTTAGAATATGAAGAATCAGTATGCAAAGACCCTGTTTCATTAAATGTATAAACCAAAAAATTCTTGGATAGGAATGAGCTAAGTAAAAACAAAAATTAAAAGTGGTTGAGTCATGAATTTAATATGAATATAAACATTACACTAATAAAAATAAATGTGAAATTTATAAGAATCATATAATAATATGCTTCAGTTAGAGAAATTTAATGTGAAATAACAGTTTAAATTCACAGAACTGCTGTATCAGGCTTCCTTAACACTGAAATAAACTCTGAATTCTCTGTATCAGATAACTGTGTGTGTGCCTGTGTAAGTCTTCATTCAACAAATATTTACTGAGTGCCTCCTATCTGACAGATCCTCTTTCAGGCACTGGGATATAGCGGTAAACAAAAGACAAAACCACTGGTCTTCGTGACAGTGAGGGACACACACTGCTAATGTGTGAGCTGATGATAAATAAAGCAGGGGCTAGGGAGGTATGTTGCAAAATGTGGATCAGATGTCATGGGAGGCTCACAGATACTATGAGATATTAGATGACTAAAAACTTGAAAACAAGCCCATGGATTTGCACTGAAATGGTATTACAGAGTTAGGAAAAAATGCAAAAACCCTGAGGAATAAATATGCTTTGTGTGTACAAAGAACACCTAGAGGGCAATGTGCCTAGAGTGGACTGTGGGTTGAAGACAAGCGATAGTAGTAAGGGACAGATGTCACAAAGAGGAGAAGCCCCTGGGAGATTTTGAGCAGTAAGTGATCAGATCAGACCAACATTTTAATAGAATCTGACTGAATGCTAGCTGAGGATCTGCAGAAAGAGAGATACCAGTTTGGCTGATCCAGTCATCCAAACAAGATGTTTTAGTGGCTTGAACTAGAACAGTAGCAGTGATGGGGTCTAAACCTGAAATTATTTTGAAGACAGGACACATGGAATTTAATAAGCTATTGAATGTGGGGAAAAGCAAACGAACAAAAAAAGACATCAAGGGTGACTCCAAGGTTTTTCTTCTGAGAAAGTGGAAGAACAGAATTGCCATTTATTGAGATGATTGTGAAAAGGATACATTTTGGGAGGATCAGAAGGACAGTTTAAATATGTTAAGTATTAAAACTCTGTTGAACACTTAGTTATCAAATAAGTAGTCAAATAAGTGAATATGGTATTCAGTGGAAAGGAATAAAGTATAGATAGATATACATTCAGGAATAATCAATACATAAATTGTATTTAAAGCCCTGGGATTGGATGACATAACAAGGTGATTGAACATAACTAAGAAAAAAGCAAGAATCAATAATAGCACCATGGAGTTCTCTGAGATTGGAGAGATAAAAAATAATCTGAAAAAACAAACTTATACTGGGAAAGAGTAAGAACAATGGTAAGAGTTAAAAAAGGAATCTCTGGTATTCTGAAAGCTGAATGAAGAAAGTATTTTGTGTAGGAGACATTAATTAGCTATATAAATGCTGCCATTTGGTCAAGAAAAATGAAGACTAAAAATTATCTGCCATTCAGAAACATGATAATTGATGATCTTATTAAAAATAGTTGTAATGGAGTTGTAGAGACATTCAAGACCAACATGAATTTAATGATTATGAATTAGGTGAGAACAGTCGTAAATTAACTGAGGATAATTTTCTCTAGACTTGTTCAACCATAAAGATGTAAGTGGATAAAATGAAGTTGTTACAAAAATTTATTTTCAAAGAGACAGATAGAGGAGTCAGTTTGATTCTATTTATATAAAAGGTTGAGAAAATACAAAATAGGAGACAGAAAGTATACAGGTTGCTATCTGGAGTGGTGATAGGAAACAGAGATTAGGTGTGAAATGGTGTGAGGGATCTTAAGCAGGGAATGAAATGTTCTAAAAATGATTTGTGGTTGATGGTTACAATACTACATAAAATTACTACGGGTTACTTGACTATACACTTGACTAAGTTTTATAATATATACAGTGTGCCCTATAAAGTAAAAAATAAATACATATATAATTAAACATTCATCAGATGTATGGTACCAGTTGAATTTCCCACCAATAGCCACTTGATATGTTCATTATGTTTGAGTTTCCATCAGACATACTTAATATCTATCAGTTCTTGGGTTCAGTATCTTTACAACTCCATTAAAGATTTATAAATATGTATAAAGATTTATAAATATGTAAAGACATATAAATATGTATTTAGCTCACTTCTAAATTTGAAAATAAAAACCTGAATAATTAAATGCAACATTCTCATAGATCTAAGATTCAAGACCTAATGAATCCTACATTGAAAATGGATTGATCAGTGTGTATTTTTCTTCATTACTATATTTAAATAGTAACAAGTAAAATTTAAGTTTTAAAGGAAAATCATATCTTACTGTTTTGTGAGATGCAGAGTGTATGGTTTTTCATCAATTGTAATAATATAAACCACCTAAAACAAAAAAAATTAAGAAAGATGATTTAATACATCAAAAATATACAAAGTAGCCTTGACTGGTATGGCTCAGTTTGTTAGGCATTGTCTCACAAAGCAAAAGGTTGCTGGTTTTGTAACCAGAAAAGACACCAGCATTTGGGCTGCCTGTCACTACCAAATCCAATAAGCAATGACAGTGATTGAATCTTTTATAGGCGCTTTATTCAGATGGCTGGCAATCTGAGAAGATGGTGGGTTCATACCCTAACAAACCATCTTCCTCTTTCTTTCCTGGACAGATTTTTTATAAGGGGGTTGGGGGAGGGCAAACAGGAGTTAGTGAGAGTCTTTGAAGTTTCAAGCTGCAGCACTTTTTTTTTTCTAGGCAATAGCTATCTCCAGGTGGGAGGGGGTAGTCCCTGCTTCTTCCTGGTAGGGATGTCTCCAAGTGGTAATCTTTAGCCAGTGCCCCAGGAGGTCGGCTGCTTTTTCTCAGGGGCCAGGATGGGCCTTATCTGTAGTTTCTGAAACAAAAAGCTTAACATACACATTACTTGTTAGATTTATGGCTATTTACCTTAAGCTAAATTTTTCCAAGTTTTGAGTCCCCTACCAGTTTGACAGTGAAAGACAAATACCATATGATCTCACCTTTAACAGGAACCTAAGCAACAAAACAAAGAAACAAGCAAAATATAACCAAAGACACTGAATTAGAGAACAGTCTGACAGTGTTCAGAGGGGAGAGGAGAGGGAATTTCAGGGGAATTTCAGGGCAAAAGGGGAAGGGTTTACAGGAAGAAGTATAAAGGACACATGGATAAAAACTAGGGATGGGTAGAAATGGGAGGGAGGAGGGGAGGGCTGGGTGGGTGGATTGGGATGGGAGTAAAAGATAGAAAATTGTACTGCAACAACAATTCAAATAAAAAATATTTTTTAAAAAAGGTTGCTGGTTTGATTCTCAGCCAGGGCATGTGCCAGGGTTGTGGGTTCAGTCCCCAGTTGGGGTATATACGAGAGGCAACCCATCGATGTAATGTTTCTCTCCCTCTCTTCCTCCCTCCCTTCCTCTCTAAAAATAAATAAATAAAATCTTTAAAATATATATATGCATACTGAAACTATTTTCACCTATGTCAAAAAAGACTCAGTCCATTTAAAAAATTAACATATTCTTCAGAATTTATGATTCAGAATAGAAGAAATATATTATTATTATGAAATCAGGATTAGGGTGATGAATTTAATATGTAGGGATGGCTTTTTGAAAAAAACTGAAGGTCATATTTTGGGAAGATAATTTTAGCATCATTAATACCATAAATTAGTCCTTTCTATTTGAAAACTATATATATTTTCTAGTCAAGAGGAATGAGCCATGCTGCAGGCTAAAATTCTATGCTAAACACAATAAGACAAATTTATTGACACTTATGAAGCAGGAGGCAGCATAGGAAGAACTCTGAGACTGCAATACTGTCACTGGCCAGCATTTAGTTCCCTGGTTGCCAGGAAACACCTTTTACCAATTAGGTAGAGTAAATAGTAAACTGAGGCAGGGAGGAGGAAGGAGACAAGTCTCACATGCTAACTCAGCAGTCCTAAGCCTGTTCTGATAATATTGCCAGGTGTTTCAATATCACAAGAAACACTATATTAGCAAGAAAGAAAGTCCTTGAGATTCTATGTAACATTTACACTACCTGGGAAAGAAAGCCTTGAAACTGTGCTTTCATCCCAAGGCCTGAATGTGGGAGAGGTCCCTGATGCTCACAGAAAGAGCCCATAAATAACTTTGGAAAGTGCCTCAATTTTAATTAACTGTCAGGTATTTGTTTTACAACAAGATGACCAAATGGGGTCTGGAGCAAGATAGACTTTGGGCTAACAGACCCCTACACATACGTAAGTTTGGGTAGTCACATCCTCCCAGGAAAGCTGGCACCACATTTACCCATTAATCAATATGTAAATTTTTTCCCTCCTATCCCACCAACTATATAAGTCTGGAGAACAAAGGACTCGCTCTCTCTCGGGGGCTCAGGATGCTCTTACTCTCGGGGGGCTCAAGGGGCTCTTGGCCCTCGGGCCACGGGGCCTCTGGCCACCAGCCTCAGGCTGCCCCAGGGGCTTGCCACCCTGGTCTTCAACCTCTCTTGCTTTTCTCACCCTGCTTTGCTCTGAAACTTTGCCTTTCACCTCCTACTCTACCCAGTCCTGTTCTCTTCCATGGAAGCGAGCCACTAATAAACTGATTACATACTACTAGATTTGCTGATATGTAATTCTTTACATGCGTCAGCAAGAAGAACCAGGTTTCTCCCGTCAACACTTACATACATACTACCAAGTATACCTGCAGCCACTTCACAGTCTTCTCGATATAAAACCATGAGGACTAAAGACTTGAGAGACTGAAGCTGGTGAGAACTGCTGCAGCTCTAGGAATAAGGGCTTTAATATAACACAGACTTATTTATGATGCAACCATAATTTAACATTTCCATTAAACTGCATTTTCTCAAGGCTATAGCCCATTCTTTGTTTTCTTAGAATGTACAAAGAAAACCCTGTGTTTTTGCTCCCTATGTAGGCTTTATTACAGCTTAGAGGAGTCAGCTTTGGAGGAGAAGAGATGCTTGGTGCCAGCCATGAAAATTCATGGGTTTCTGAAGTAAATCCACACATGCCTGTGTGAAGAGAGATAGCACCTAAATGGTGGGAAGAAGCCCCTCCCTTTCCCATGCGCCCCCTTCTCAGGAGAAGCAGTGCTTTCCCTCTCCAGATCTTTGTTCTGCTTTCCCTCTACATTCTTATAAAAAGATGCACCTGCACTGAAGTTTTAAAATGGGCTTTTCTGAGGACAAGAGTTCCCCATCTTCTTCAATTGCAGGCAACTTGAATAAAACTTTTGTTTTTCACCAGCACTTGTCTCACAAGTTTGGCTTTTGTTGCAGCAGGCAGCCAGACCCAGGTTCAGTTACAGTAACAGTGGTCCTCATCCTAATGTGGGGACGTCTAGGAATAGCTGGGTCAGAGGACTGTCTTCACAAAGGCAGACAGACATCTATGTGAGCAAACCCACAATTTCTTCTCAAGAAAAACCAACTTTAAGAAAGATCCCTGATTTTGAGAGAAGACAGTCTACGAGCCCGTGAGAGGTTAGTGCTGCTTATGTCTGGAAACACCCAGGAAGTACAAGACACAGAGACTAAGACACCTAATAACCCAGAACTGAAAATATAATATCGGCCCTAGCAAATATTCCTTACTCTTCTTTCAGAATTAGACCTTTCTCCAGGTGCCTTTCTCAGTTGTGTGGGTTTCACCAGAGCCCTCAGGCCAAAAACCTCTTTAGGCTTTTCCCAAGAGGCTAAGGATTTTGCATCATAAAGGTGGTAGAAGAGATAAGATCAGGTCAAGTTTCTAAAGTGGGGTTTGCTTTTACAGGTGACTGCAGGCACTAGAGCCACCTAGGTCTAATGGCCTCCTTATTTAGCTACTCTAACAGTGTATACATACAAAATGTATTACAGTAAATCAGCTATCAGCTGAAAAACTAGTTTGTTTAGATGGTCATTCTCAAACTCTTCTGCGATAACTTAACCTTAATCTATACATACACATCTTGCTTGTCTTCTGCTCTCATTTGATTTCAGTACCTCCTTAAATGCTTGATTAGTGCTTAATATGACCTAACATAAATGTATTTAGATAAATTTTGACATACATACAATCATTGTTATTATATTATGTATGAAGAATATACAAAGGGTGAGAACTAGAAAAGCAGCTTCTGACACCGAAGAGCTGCCTTGGTACCAGCCTTGGGGCTCTGCTGATGAGTGTGAACTTTTTCACAGAACATCCACATCACACATGGCTGCTGTGAGAAACTGGGCATTGAGACAGACACAAGATCACTTCATAGTCATGTCTGACTACAAAGCAAGTACAAACATTTTCTAAGTCAGAAAGAAAGAGCAATTATGCCCTTGTTGGACTAACATGAGTGGTTGTTTCTTTTTAACCAATTACAGCTGTAGGATTCTTCTAGTCTTTTCTTAGATAAGATTTACTAAGATACACAATTATAGAATTAGCTCTACTTCCTGACTGACCACGTCCAAACCAGAGCAAAGGCCTGCTTCCTCAGACTGTCACAGGGTGCAGCCAAGGGGGGCGGGGGGCGCAAGTAGGGATTTGGAATGGGGTCCAGAACTCAAGGTGTCCAGCAAACATTAGGATGTCCTCACCCTCTACCCCCACAGGTGTGGGTCGGGGGAAGGGACAAATGGAGCAGGGCCATTGAGAGCTGTTTTGCATAGCAACAGCTTTGCAGCTAACCTCTGGTGTGGTCATTTAACATATCTATAACCTTTAACTGGTTACATAGATATATTAAATAGCTGTGGCCATGCTCTGAGCTGTGGGGATAGAAGTAACTTCCCCACCAAGACATAACTGGGGGGCAGGTCCACCAAGTTACAGCACCTGCGTGGGAGCTTGGAGAAGATTGGCTCCATGACATGGGGCCACGCCTGCCCAGACTCACAATGGCAACCCAGTAAAGCTGGAAGGATATGGGAATGTTGGCAAGTGTAGCCAATTATGGGAGGAGTCAGAAATGGGGCTGCAGAGGAAGATTGGTGCGGGGATTTAAACCCAGACTCAGCAGCCATTGAGGTGGGAGAACTAGGTGGTTTTGGCAGAGTGGAGAGTCCTGTGGCCATTGTGTGGAGAACACCACACAGCTGTGGCAATAGAAAGAAGAGCCATGTGGCTTTGCCAGAGTGGGGACCCCTGCAACTTTAGAAGGGGGAACCACCACCCAGCTTTAGCAGAGATCCCAGCAACACAGCTGATGGTGCCAGGAACCGAGGGAGATCTACCAGCTGAGATGGATTACTGGGAAGAACCGGGGGCTGCCTGAGCCACGGACTTCTATTTCTTTTCCTGAGATACGGTACCCCAGACTGGGCAAAGGGAAGAAGGGAGGACTGTGTGTATTTGTGAGTGTTTTAAGGGACTTTGGGATTTTGATGAAGCCATTAGGTCACTACTTTAAGTCTGTATAGCATTAAATAAACATTCCTTTCCTTTTCATGAATCTCTGGCATTGAGAGATGTCTTTCCTATAAGGTGGTAGACATAACGAACCTGGGGGGTTCCTTTCAGGTAATAGTATATCGCCCTTGCCCCCCTTGGGCCCTTGTGTTGTGTAACAAAACATTGCACAAATCCTTTAACAGAAGCTGGAGTCTTTTAAAGGCTTTCTAACACACTCTCACTGAGATGTCCCATGGTTCTCCACGGCATGTGCTGTCCCTCACTGCCACGATTAATAAACCTAACTTGTGTAACTACAGGTGTGCTCCCAATGGCCTTTGGCAGGGAGGCATTGAAAGGCAACTATCTCTCCTCAGCTGAGGAGTTTCTCCCCAGTGTTATACCAACAGCAGCACTAATAGCTTCCACAAATATATTTAGATAAACCTTATAAATTTGGACACCTGCATTAAGTCCTGCACTATCCCAAAATAAAAGCCACTGCTTTAGCAGAATATGTGGTTATCATGATAAACTGAAAGTCCATGAAAAAAGAATCCTTTGTATGTTTAACAACACAAAAAAGACACGGGGTAATCTGGAATCAAAGGAAGAAACAAGGCAGGTAAAGGGAGGCCTACTGTACGAAAAGAAAGGAGAACATTAATTATATATTCGTCACAGGAAAATGGCTTCTGGAATTGCATAAAGACAATTCAGAAAACATAAAGAGTTATTAAACACTTCATAGTAAAAGCATTTTATGCCTTGCATAGTTGCTATATCCTCTGTGAAAGGCAATTTGAAGGAAATAATTTAAAGTTTAAAGTGATCATGCAATGACAATGTAAAAATTCTTAGAAATAAATCAGAAAAAAATCTTTCTGTAAATAATTTTTCAACTGAAGGTAGTACTTGTAATGGAATTGGAAGTCATAAATTCAAAATTAAATTCCATGTCCTGAATGTTGTAGCTTTCATGCTCTTAACTTAAATATTGTTAATCCTCTTTATTAAATACATATGTGAAATATGTATCATTTATGTCATGTATATATCCATATCCTTGTTTAGAAGGTTAATCTGAGAATTAAATAAGATTAGTATATACAAATACTATTTCTCCAGAGAAAATTATTTTATTGTTATTTTCAATTATAATTTCATATACATTTTACTTTTATTATTACTGTTCAGTAATAGAACAAAATCATATAGGTTCCATTACTGTATGACAAAATAGTTATGAATTCTTCATTTTTACTTATTCTTACTACAGAAATTGTTCCAACATGATTTTTTTTCCACAGTTACCATATACTGACCACATCAATTTAACCATGTGAAAATCTACACTCCTGCATTATGACTCTTGGTTTCTAATATAAAACATAACTACACCAATTTGAAATATTCAAGACTAAATGCCTTCAATGTAATTTCTTTTTTATATGGCAAGTAAGCATTTCTTTCAACTTTGTTTTCCAGTTAATATTTATTTATTGTAATATTATCATAATAGGGAAAATGTGACATCTTTCCTTTTCTTTTTTCTTCCTGTGGCCATATTTCCACTAAGTCTGATGTTTCTGTGTCAAAATTTTGTTGGTCTAAATTTTGCTCAAGACCCATCTCTCTGTCGCTGGAACACTGTCAAGTTTATTTCACATTGATTTTTTTCTGCCAGTATTTTTCTTGTAATATTTGTACCAGCATTTTCTTGAAAATTATGGCAGAGCATGTCTGTGAGATGAAAAGATGCAGGGAAGGCACAGGAATTAGTGCAGAGGTATAGGATCAAAGTATACTGAGGCAAAATAGTGGCTTGAAAACATTTTGTTTTGCAAATGAGTTACAAATCAGTATGATCTGACTTGATACAGAGGTAGATTAAAATAGTCTTAAAATTTTAAAATGTAATACAAATATTTACCTGCCTCTTTGCACCTTCACTCTCATTCGACCTTATTTTCTGTGGGACTGTGAGGTGCAGGAATATTCCTTCAGAACCTGCAGTAAGAAAATGGGGTTGTTTGCAGCAATGATCATCTCAGTCAAGAACGGGCTCTTCCCTGAGTGCACCACGGTGGGGACTAAAGCTGTCATAAAGTTTATTTATAGTTGTCCTCCCTCCTTCTTGGTCCAAAGCTTTCACTGCCTTTTCAAGGACACACTGAAAATTCCTGAGACAGAAACAAACAAAAATGGGACGCCGTAGTTCTACAGGACCATCCTGTTCCTGACAGAACTGTGTTGAGATTATTTCCCTCGGTACTTGGAGGAATAAACTGGGCAGTACACATGCCCTTAAATCCAACAGCCCCAGAGTAAGTGAGCCAGGAAGACCAGCTGAGTTTCAGCTGCTGAGACCCTGGACCCCTGATGCAGAGCATTCTCCTTAGCTACTATCATCAGTCCCCTGGGGACACATGGAAGAGGGCATCAGCGGGGATCCAGGAAGGGGGTGTGACAGGGGTCCCAGAGCTACAGGAAATTGTTCTCCAGAAAGAGCTCAGCCTGCTCAGAGGCAAAAGTAGTCCAGGCCCCCGTGGTCTTACCCATGCTGGCGTGCAGCTTTCCAAACTCAGCAAGCAGTGCCAGGAGAAGCAGCATGGCTGGGCCAGAGCGCCGGGTCGCCGCCCAGACTGAAAGCCGTTGGGCAACTCTGCGGCTCGCGAGCAGGAGTACTCAGCACAACAGTGCGCAGCGCTAGGGCCCTGGGTGAGCACTGCAGTTGCTTTCTGCCCTAGCTGGCCCACCCTTCGGGATCCTAATTGGTTGGGCCCCCTGCCACAGGGCCAGGAAAGGAAACCCCAGTTAGGAGCGTATGCTTTTGTTTACAGTTGGTTTGTTCGGGTGAAGTTACATTATTTAAACCCTGTGCCACCCCACGTCCCAGCTCTTCATCGCCAGGGCCCCTTTCTACCCCTAAACAAACACTGATCTTTTTCTCCATAAATGTTCCTGTTTAAGATATTTCATACAAGTGAATAATATATGGGTATTTTTGTTTGGTTTTTTTGTTTTGGTGATTGGCTTTATTCACTTAGCATAGCATAATGGTTTCAAGTTTCATCCATTTGTATCCATTTTATGGCTGAAAAATATTCCATTGTATGGATAAAACACATTTTTAAATTTATCCATTAGTTGATTGACATTTAGAAAAGGAAACTCTTGGCCTCTGTGGTGAGGTACTCTCACTGCTGACCCAGGAACATCTTTGTGTATTGATGAAGAATCTTCAGATCCTAGTTACCTTGAGGTAGGCTGATGGTTTTCCAATCCATGTGTAATGGTTGAGGTGTGCAGAGGTGCAGCTAGCTTAGTAAGAGCGAAATGGGGAGGGGACAGTAAAGCAAATAATCTTAGCTGGAAAAACTCAGCTTTAAGTAAAGAAAGAGTAGCAAGTCTGGGTGTGCCTAAAGAGCAAAGATACACCCTAGATCTCAAATTACACGGGACCACAGAAGTAACGCCTGGTGACAGAAAAGTTATCAATGACCAGGAACTCAGTTTGAACAGTTCATTAAAGATGGAATGGATGCTAGAGACTATCTAGGGGCTTGAGACTGGCCTCACCTAGCAGCACTTCAAAATACAAAGTCTGGAATGAATAGGCAGGTGAATCGTGAGCTACTATCTGAGAAGTGTGGACTCTAGGCGTCCTTTCTTCAGATGGAAGCAGTTGACATGGCCACAGGCACCTGAGGGTGGGCAGCATGGTGGACAATAAAATGTTTTCATGTTGAAAGTTAAAGCTTTCCAAGTTCAAAAGAGGCTAAAGCACTTATTTTTTATTGAAGTGATCCTTCCAAGCAGGTGGAAGAATCAACAGACACAAGCCTACATGATTTATTTTGGTTTGTACAATTGAAAGTTTTAAACCAGCAATTTTCAACTGGTGTGCCACAAGAACTTTTAAAACACATAACACCTGCCTATTTAGTTAGGCCACTGACCTCGTTTTCCTTAAACTGTCAAATAAAAGAATGGCAGCAGTGTACTCAGTAATAGCCATCTGGTATGAATGAATCAAAATTCTCCCAGCTTGCATTTATGGCTTCATAGGGAGTTTCCTACATTTAACTAACAAAGGAAGACTTGAGCTTAGTTTATAGGTGATTCTGTACGATATGCAGGTATCACCTGAAAGTGGACAGCTGCAGCACGATAGCTCCTCCACACCACGACATTCCTGAAGGACAGTGGTGAAAGGAAATCCTCCCAAGAGGGAAGAACTTTGGGCAGTGTACATGGCTGTGCACCTTGCTTGATAAGAGAAATAGCCAAACATGTGATTATATGTCAATGTAGTTTGCCTGGAATGGTCAGGAACTTGGTAAAAAACATGAAGTGACAAAGAAATTTGGGGTGGTGGGGAAGTATGTGGGTAGATCCTTATGGATGGGCAAAAATATGAGAATAACATATGGATAGACATCTCTGAATTGGCAAAGATCTTAAAGATCTTTGGGTCCTGTTAGGTCGGAGTTGTTCAAGAAACCAGGTGGATGCAGTGAGCTAAGGAACTGAGGGTTTATTAGTGGGGAATAAGAAGGAAAAGTGGAGCTAACCAAGGGAGGTTAAGACTCACTTGGCTGCTCTTAGGGCAGGGTTTTTAAGCGCAAAACTCCATGAAGGGTAACTGGTTGGGGTGTCAGAGTCTGATTGGCTAGAGCTGGTTGCTGGGTGCCATTTCTGCTGACCATTGTTCTTGATACATCTTGTCAGGCTCAAGTTAAAGCTGCATCCTCTTATGCTGGGTAGGCTGACCTCAGACCCCAGTCTTAGCCAGGCTTCTGTTTGTCCTGGGTAGGATCGGCAGGCATTTTCCCAGGCTACAGTTTCCCATGGTACAGTTTTCCTGTGTGGTGATTTTCTATTCCTTCTAGGCCTGCCTAGCTCTGTCAGGTCCCATATGGATGCTCACTAAAGGGTGACCTCATCAGAGGAGGATTTCAATAATCATGTGGAAAGGAAGACCCATTCTGTGGGGACTAGTCAGCCTCTATACCTAGCAATACCATTTATCACCCAGTGAGCTCACTGCAGTCATGATGGCAAGGGTGGAGTTTATAGATGGGCTCAGCAACATGAAATTTTACCCACCAAGCCTAACCTGGCTACTGTCACTGCTGAGTTCCTAATCTGTCATCACTGAGCTCCAGATATAACATCATTCACTTTGACGATCAGTAAGCTAAACTGGTGGCAAGTTGATTATGTTGGACCATTTCCATCATGGCCCGGGCAGTGTTTTTTCCTTATCGGAATACAAGCTTACTCCGGATTCAGATCTGCCTTCCTTACATACAAAGCTTCTGCCCAAACTACCATTCATGGACTTATCACATACTGTATCCATCATCATGGTATTCTGCTCAGCATTGCTTCTAATCAAGAAACTAACTATACAGCAAAAGAAGTGTGGCGATGCCCCACCTCAGAAGTTCCTCACCTGTCAGAAGCAGCTGTCTTGAAAGAATGGTAGAATGGCCTTTCAGACACCCAATCGTGGTTACCACTAGGTAACAATAGCTTCCAGGACTGAGGCAAGGTTCTCCAGAGGACTGTATATGCTCTGAATTAGTGTCCAATGTATTGTTCTCCTCCCACAGATGGGATTCATGGGCTCAGGAATCAGAGAGTGAGAATAGAAGTAGCACCACTCACTGTTACCCTGAATGACAAAATAGCAAAATTTTTGCATCCTGTTTTCATGACTTTATGCTCTGCTGGCCAAGAGGTCTTAGTTTCAGAAGGAGAAATGTTTCTGTCAGGAGACACAATGATTCCTTGAACTGAAAGTTAAGACTGCCACCTGGTTAAGAACCCACTTTGGGGTCCTTAGCCCTCTGATTCAACAGGCAAAGAAGACAGTTAAGGTGATTGATTTTAACTACCAAGAGGAAACTGGACTACTACTCTGCAGTGGTAAGTAGTATGAGGTAAGAAAGAGTATGGCTGGAATATAGGAGATCTTTTAGGATGTTTCTTTGTATTACCATACCCTGTCATTAAAGTCAATGGAAAACTATAACAATTCAATCAAGACAGGACTAATAATGGCCCAGAGCCTTTAGAAGTGAAGGTTTGACTCACCAAACCAGCTCAGGGGCATGCTGAAGTCAAAGGGAATGCAGAATGGGTAGTAGAATTAGGTAGAATTAGGCAGTAGAATAAATACCAGCTACAATGACATGACCAGTTACAAAAAGGATGGGTAATGTCATATTTCCTCCTTGTTTTGTTATGAATATACTTGTGTATGTATATACGTATACTGAAGAGATACCTTTGTTTGTCTTCCTCTCATATTCCCCTGTCATGTAACAGAAGATGCATGGACTTTATATCAGTATTTAAGTATTGTTAACATTACATCATAGTAGTTAAGTTAAGAGATATCTGGAGAAGAGTAAGCATTCAAGGACTGTATTTTCTCTTCTGGGGAAGGAATTAGTGCATTTCTGGTTGCATGCAGGATAGTCATGTCATGTTAGGCAGAGTTATATTTCTATTTAGAGATTAATATGGTTTCAGGAGATGCATATAGGGGCCAAGTTGACAAGGAGTACACTTGTGATGATTAATTTTGTGTGTTAACTTAGGGGTGCCCAGATATCTGATAAAAAATTATGTCTGAGTGTGTCTATGAGTATGTCTTTGGAAGAGATGAGTATTTGGATCATTAGACTGAATGAAGTTTATCATCATCAATGCAAAGAGGTATCATCCAATCCCATGAGGGCCTAAGTAGAACAAAAGTGGAGAAAGGGTGAATTTGCTCTGTGCTCGAGCTGAGGCATCCATCTTTTTCCTGTCCTTGGATATCCATTGGCACTCCTGGTTCTTGGGTTTTTGGACTCCGACTGCGACTTACACCATAGGATCCCCAGTTGTCAGGCCTTCAAATTCATACTGATTACACCACCAACTGTTCTTGTTCTCCAGCTTGTAGATGGGAGATTACGGGATTTTTGGCCTCTATAACCATGTAAGCCAATTTCTATAATAAATCTCTTCAGCTGTATATCATCTATCTATCTATCTATCTATCTATCTATCATCTATCTAATTTATTGATCTATCTTCACCTATTGGTTCTGTTTCTCTGGAGAACTCTCACTAATGCATATGTATTATTGTAGCTTTCTGTTAAACTGACAATTTATATATGTCATGATATATTCTTTATCTCTACCAATGCTTTCAATATTAAAGTCTATTAAGCTCTTTTGAGTGATTGTGGACCATCAGATAATAACATAACTACATCATTTTGCAGTTTAAAATGTAACAGTGGCTTTTAATCATGGCATTGCATTTATTATAACATTTTCTCATCTCATGTCTGCTGAATATCAGTTTGTTTCTACTGACTAGCAGAATTAGTACAAGACAACTGAAAAAATATGTAATACAAACACTCATAAACAAGTAAGTATGTGGAATTAAATAAATATATATGTATGTTATATAATTTTTAATAGTATGATATAACCTAAATTATATATGGAAACTTCTAATTTTTTTATTGTCAGGTCAAAACAATAATTTGCAGGTTTTGAATCCCAGGCAATCAGGCAACACATGTATTTTTCCTTTTCCATTTTTCCTGTCCATTGAAGATAATTACTGTGGAAGAATAAAGGGAAAAAAGTCACCTATATGCCCAATCAAGTTAAAAA